AATATAAAATTTGAGAATCCATACCAAAACTAACACCTTATAATTCGAAATATTGATGTTTTTATGCACATTTTACCTATAACATATAATCTCCATCGAGTTATCTATCACAGATAATAAAACAACTGCTCCATTTTTGCTTGATCACAATATGTATTATTTTTCTGTTGTAAGTGACGGTGTTGTATTCTTATATGCATATAATTACTTTCCATTTATTATAAAATAAGGGGCATACTGGCCTGTTTAATAATAATAATAACAGTAATAAAAAACTAGTGGTTTGCGTTATAAATTGAACCATGTTTTCACTGTACCCGCCTGCACTCGCTAAAAAATTAATTTAATTAGTTTAATGTATATGAAATTTACGTACTTGAAGTATATTTGAGCTGTATAACATGTATTTTCGATCTCTGAACAAATAGTTTGTATTAATTTGACAGTCAAATCAAAATATCAAAATCTTTATGTTTTGTGTGCTGAGTACACGACTCTAAAGGATTTAAGCACTAACACTCAATAGTTTAGCAGTTCTTGCTTTTTACTATCACTAACTAATACTACAATAAGTAATTGAAAAATACAGTTTCAAAACTGCGTCAAACTCTCACGATTCACACGAATCACGATCGATCGCCGAGCTGCTTATATTTTAAATCCTTAAGGGGAGGCATTCAGGTGCAAATCAACTGCCAGTAATTTTGCAGATAAAATTTTGAAAATAAGAATTTTTCTGCCGTTTTTTACGCTGAATTCAATTATGAAAGAACTAATTCTTTAAATAAGATTCCTCCATTGTTTACATTTTGTTGCAAATAAACAAGAAGGTTCCACATACAGAGCACGTGGTTTTTAGTCACTATTCATCACGCATCTTGTGTCAACGTATAAACTAAACTTTAAGTAATTCATCTTAAAATTAAAATAATTCTGTCAAAAATTAAATTATCGAGCTGAAATTTTTTCTCCAGTTTACTTATGTGATAATGAAGGAATAAGGGTGTGGATTCTACAATTGGATCATTTTTTTCAACAAACTTCTGTTAAACAATAGACACATTTATTTAAAAAATTAGTTCTTCCATAATTGATGTCAGCGTAAAAAACAGCATTAGAATAAGTATTTTCAAAATTTTATCTTGAAAATAATTAATAGTTGATTTTCACCTGATTGCCCCTTCTTAAATACAGAAACCTATCACCGAGCATTCAGGAGCCATCTTGAACCGAATATTCGGAATTTATTCATCGATTTTATATTTTTTCATATCTGGGTTTCCCGAATTTCGAATCACGAAAAAAGTGCAATGTTTCTAATTTTCGGAATTCATAACTTTCTTGGGTACGAGGAGTTTTGACGTTTTGACGTTTCAAGAAACTCATCCCTAATTAAAAGGATTTTGAAATATTTGTAATGGATAAACTTGTTGGAAAGTTAGATCTATTATGTTATCAGAGTTTTTTAAAACAATTTTTCTTTCTACTACCAACGTTTTGAAAAATATTTCATATGTTAATTAAAGATTCTAAAGAAATTGTTAACCTAAATAATAGCTTCTAACAAAATTATACAAATAACAGCTAAAAAGCTTGGCTGATTATACAATTGGTTACGTGAACTAGATGATAATAACTGTAAATGTTCAGAAAAAATAAAATTATTACCGATTTTCTTTTCTTTAGGCGTTCGAATAAAATTCCATATTAATTACAGAATCTGCTGATCATCTCGCGCAATAATAACTATGATGAAAGTAAGAATCGAATGGGTCCATGTTATTATAAAATGTTAGGTTTATTGTTTACCGTGTTTTTTAAGTTTCAATAATGCACACGCTACTTGAAATAATTAGCGGCTTACTTAGAATGAATTATATTATTAAACGAAATATTTCAATTTCATAATTTCTTTCTTGTTCATTGTTATATTCGATTGGTCGTTTAGAAGTATCCTCTAAAAAGTTTGAGTAATGTAGGTTTTAACCTACATTTTAAACTAATCGAAACGAATTATCTAAACATGCGAAATTGATCTTTAATATAATAGTTCCGTCTTTCCCCCCGAAATAGGTATGGAGAATACGAAGTGTGTTTTTCTACTTACAAGTAGATTCTTCATTATTTCATCTATACGTAGAAACCTTCGTCCAAACGAGTCGGTACGAAACTGAGAGAATAATCCGCCGGTGAAAGTAATATAAGTAACTGACGGAAAGGTGGAGGTAGTACGTGTTACGCCTGTCTAAAGCACGAACACGTTTCTGAACGAACGTGTTGCCGTGATAATGTAATTGAAACAGAATGTAGTCAAGGTTTAACAAGGAGATGATCATCCGGATAAAAGAATTTGTCCATTATAATGTAACGTTGATTATTTGAATTAAGAACGAAACGAATTCGTCCCGGTAACATTCTTTTATTCACGTTGATGTACATAAACATATAGGATAACTAAGGCCCGTCGCACACGAGCGGCACGTGTCATTTTTCAGTCACGTCGATTTGACGCCGCGGTTTGGCAGTGCATTCATTTATATTTATATGAAGCAATTCACACATGACGCAGATTTCGGCGGCAACTTTGCGTCCTATTTGCATATTAACAAATGCATGCTAGAACGCGACTAGGACGTAGCGTTTTAGCAATACATATATTTATACGAAGCGGTTATTTTTCTCGAGTAATTCATATATCCAGTATGCGATATTTATTGTACGAGCAAGCAGTATTACTTCAGCATCAAAACGAAAACGACTTTCAGAAGATATAATGATTCAATTTATGACATCACCAGAAATATCAAAAAACCGAATGAAGATTTATTATTTTTACAATCACTAGTTTCAATTATAAAGACTTTTAATGTAGATCAGAAAATACAACTTAAAATAGAAGTTTTAAATGTTATCAAAAAAAAATAGAAAAAGTGTTTAAGTTTAGTATTTTACTTCTTTATTTTTTCTTTTCATTCCTGTTTTATATATCATGATACCTTTTTTGTTAATTATTATTAGTTCCTTCATTTATTATGAGTTCATTAACCTTCTATTATATAAAAAACGTTTTTATTCGTTTTTATATATAGTTCATCAAGCGATTTCACACTCATTCTAAAGTAGTTACAAAACTTGACCTCATATTCCCTTAAATCAGAAAACATAGTACTAAATGCTCCTTTAAGTAATCAAAAAGATGACTAAAATCAGGTAATTACTAATTGTTAAAATTATTTGACCGCTCGTATGCTGCAGCTGCAAAATTTACACAAACAGGACGCAAATAAGACACAAAGTTGCCGCCGAAACCTGCGTCACGTATAACTTGCTTCACGACATCAAATCGACGCGACTGCAAAATAATGCGTGTCGCTCGTGTGTGCGGGCCTAATCAACTTGGTCGAAGAACTCAGGGACGAAGGTTCGACAGGCTCACATGGTGCGAGAGTGTCCCGTCCTATTTATTTACAACGAACGTGTGTCTGATATTTTCATTCCGAAACACCATCATTCCGTTGGAATTTTAAACTTTTGCTATGTTGTTAGCCAAAGAAATAGGAATCTCCCCTTAAATCTTAAATGATTTGACACAAGTTACAAGGAGAGTATGCCAGGTGTGCACCTCAAATAGCTTTGGTTTTCAGATATGTTTTAGAGAACCGAAAAATAAGAGATACGTATTTTTTTATATCGGACCGTTTCTATATTTAGAAACCGATGTTAAAGGTTCAATAATTTTTAAACACACTTTATTTATAATGTTCTTATACTTTATAATGAAAGATAAAATCAATAACGTGCTATTGCCAACGCAAACGAAAATCAAAGTTTAACTGGGGAAATATATCATTCTGTGAGGAATAAACGAAAAACACTGAAAAAGACGTTCCATATCGTTGTGATTTTCAGCGATAAGATCAGTCAGTAAGCAAGAATTAATATTACATCATCTTATTAAACATCGAGAAGCAGAGCGACTGTGCATCTATTGGTGTAAAAACAACAAGTTATCGCTGTCGTTAATGATTATCCGCTAATGGACTTACAATTAGATGGAATAATTCATCGAGTAGGAATCAATTGTATGTTTTCGATCAAATGACCACGTCGCTCAATAAAGTCTTTGCTGTTGAACACATCAAAATGTTAACACGTTTTTTTGAGCAATTTTTCGAGTAGCAGTACCTTAAATCAACAAAATACGAAGATTTGGATTTACAGAAATCTTCATCCTTGTCCTCAACTTATGAGCGGGAACCATTTGTTAATTTATATCATTAACAAGTGCAACATATCTGCAATTTCTACGGACTTGCTTCTTGAGTGAATTACGTCAAGTTATATCACACCACAGACATCACTCCATTTACTTCATGTATGATAGTGCTCCTCTTCATGAAATGTTTGGAACGCGATGGATAGGATGCAGACCTGCTCCACGCTTCCGGGTGATGGAATGAGAACAACTCTTTCAAAATAAAAGTTTAACAAGAGGTTTTTATTCGTGACGGGGCAATGCCAATAAGCGTCCGAGTAACTGTACAAGAATTAAAGTGTTTGTTGGTGTTTGTGAAATTGCATACGGTCTTATATACTATCGTTCTGTGGTAGGGAGGGGATGCTTGTGGACCTTTATACAGAAGAAGTAAGTAGGAGTTCAGACTTTGGAGAAATTAAGGGTGACTACCTTGTTTGGGAGAGAGCAACGCGGTCGCAGTTATTCATGAAATGAATCAGAGTAAATAGGTTAGTCATCCAACAAAGTATTTGGATAAAACTGCAAGAAATGATAGAAGAATCATTACAAACAATAACTTCAGAGTAACTTTATATAACTGCTGTCTTTGAGTGTAGATAACCTGAATGTCCTTACACGAGTAAAATAGTCAATTTACGCTTTATTGGCAACGTTTCAAATATTCTAAAAAGTAAAATAAATTATAAAAACAAAGAAATGACATTTTTTGAAAAATCAAAATTGATCTTTATAAATTGACCATTATTAATATACTTCCCGAAAACCAAAGAAGTCAGCAACTGAAACAGCAGGCGTGCGCACGGGATATACATAATAAAAAACTGCGAGACTGTACGAGGCAATTTAAATAAAAACTTTACCAATGGATTTTGTTCGATCAGCGTCGATAACGTAGTCATTTGTATGGCGTAAATAGGTGGCTCACGGTTTGCGTTTTGTTCCCCCTCGTCTCCGTGCTCGACGGTACCCCTATCGCGTTTGTATATACATATTGATCGTGCGAGCTATGTATCCTCCTTGTCTTGTCTTCGTCTTGCCTTGTCGCGTCTCGTGTGTCACATAATTGAATTTACGCTCTGAGACGGAATAATTAAACCTCCGTTATTGGCTCCGTTGATGGTACCCATGATCATTTTTTTCTAGCATCAGTACTGCTGCACATGAAGCACAATCCAGCTTTTCATGCAATGATCTGACTATATATCCCGCTATATAGTGTAGTATATAATCTTTTAATTACAGATGTAGTCTCGGTATGTCAAGTACTTCTGCCGTTTTTTCCCTGTTGCAAGATTTTTTGCCGGAGGATCTTCACAATACATTTGAGTTTCTCCTTCTGTGGTGTGTCACTGGTATTTCTCCTTTTGGGTGGTTCGTCATCAGAATTTACTTCAAGCTGTTCCTTATTTTCAGCTGATTCAATTGGCAAAACAATACAATCTGTTACAACAAACAAAATTGAATATTACGATTGTTAGTTATAAATATAATAGAAAAACATCATTCGTTGGAAGGTTTATCTATTGTTGCAAGAAAAGACATGCTAGTTTGAAAGTTACTCCTAAGACAGTTATTATAATTGCACTACATGTATCTTTTATTACCTGTTAATACATCTGTGTTATCTGCTACAAATGGCTCCTAATGGGTCCATTATGTTGTTGGAACTAGGTGATGGCCCATCAATGTTTGTAACATTTATTTCTTGTTTAACTATTGGCATAACACGTGCAGCTCCTTTTACAATTATAGTTGGTACTGCATCTGGTTTTAAACGTTTTACATACATGCCAGGTCTTTTTGAGTAATCATCAGCATTAAAATGTAAACTGCAAACGGCTGTGTACTTAGAGGGTTCGTTATTTTCTTTCCCCATTACTTTCAACCATTTTGAACATACTTCCTGATCCTTTAGGGGAAGACTGAAACACTTAATCCTTCTTAACATACTGTAACCTTTCTCTAAATTTGTCATACACCGGGTGACATAATGAAGTATTTCTCAAGATATGAATACTTATGATTGGCACGTTTGTACTTCACAGTCACTAGATGTATGATGCTACACGAGGCATAATGATGCTCAATTGTTTAAGACGTTGGTAACTAAGGTAACCAAGAGGAATATGCGCAAACAAGACCGAAATTCGTCATTTCGCAGTTATGGTCTTATTTGGTTTTTAGTGTAATTAGGTTAGGCTTCGTATGGTATATAATACACCATTAAGTACCTTACTTATATGAATTTTATATTTTCTTATCATATTATATTCTTAATCCAATTAAAGCAAATCTTAAAACAAGTAGTATCTTATATAAATCTTTTCAAAAATCTTACCTAAAGAATTGGATGGCACTTCGTACCTTGCGATACTGCTGACAATTCGAAAAACCGCACTTTTGACGCATTTTTATCTCCTACTTAATCATTTACATTGATATTTTATATTACTCAAATTGTTTTTCACCAATAAACAACAATCACGCTAAATAAATCTTTGCAAAATCTTACCTGACGTTATCCCACGCTATTCTCCACCAAGTACTACTCACGCTATCCGTGTGTATCTAGTGGCAAATGGCCGCCGTGCCTCACTTTTGTATACAACGTACTATTGTATTGTTGCGTTCTTCTTAGGGAATTTTAAAGCTTCGTGGGAAATATGGCGTGAGCTAGCGCCTATGGGGCGCTTTTAATTGTGATTTTGTATTTGAGTATTCAATTAAATAACAATTTCAATTCAAACTGTTCACAATTCTTTAATTTTAATTTCAACACCCTTTTACATTTATATAAATGAATTTAATTTTATAAATACTCTCTATGTCGAGAACGCGTCTGGATAGTTGTAATGTCCAGAGATGAATGGTGGAAGAAAAAAAAGCAAGGAGCGTCATCTCCTTGCCGAATTATAAAAACAAATACAATTTGTTTATTAACAAAATATCTTAGATACTGACATCCAATCAGGAAATTATTAATTAATTAAAACGACTTCCTATTTGCCAATCCATTCCCTGTCATTTATCAACTGTCCAGTTTGCGAGTGTTTAACATCTTAGCATTGGTTTGCATATTAGGAGAAGGAGATAAAGAGAAATTATTCAAACATAAATAACTTGAAATCTATCCTTTTGGATGAGTAACTACTGATTTCAAATCGTTTCCTACATGTGCCAACTTCACCTTTCTCCCTTCTCCTATTACATTTCTTTCAAACTTCGCGCTTCCAACACTCGTATATCGATAACCCTAAATATCGCTTGAACTAAAGACACTACCCGCGACAACGTAACAGTATGTTCGCAGTCTAGTGTATTATATAGAAATCTGTGGTTGGAACTGATCGATTCGTGATTGGTGGAAAATGCAGAATTTTTGTTGGTGTAGGTGGTGGAAGAGGTGGCAGTATGAATTGGAAGAAGTGGGGTTTGGTGTACGTATTGTTTCTGGGATTCCTGGAAGTCAGATCCGAAATATAATAAAGAATGGTCTTGAGGACCGCGAGTGTTTGCACGTAATGTACACCCACGAGCAAAGTCGGCTCCCGTTGGGGGAAAAGCAGCGTAGGGGAAAGGCCCCCCACCACTTGACCACACAAGTCACTGGAACTCATGCCACACTTACATGAAAGAACCACATTCAGTTTAACATTTATTTCAGTACTCGACAAGCAACCAAATTTGCGCGTTTGAACGTTTGAGGGTAAAAGCGATGTATTTTATTGCCAGTGAAATGAGTAATAAACACAATTGGTCACCAGTCTGTCAACAGCTAGCGTGTATCGGTAATTGTTCAGTGGCGCCATCGTCGCACATTGAACAATTGGCGAAACAATCTTCCCCACTATAACAACAACGTAGGGAAGCCGACTCTGCTCGACTGCGCGAAACCGTCGCATAAGTCTGTCCTTTTTGCACTTGCGGTTGTACTCTTTTACGGCACCTCCTCGTCTTGACGATGTTTCAAGAGTCCCTGTTTTCAGTCGGCACGATCAAGTTGGCGGTAAATGAGATACCACGTGAACCGTATACCGAATTATTCATTGAACTAATAAATAATTTACAGATTGAAAATTAATTTCTTTTTCTAGACTGGTTAGTATATTAATCAGTACCCCAAAATGCATTTCAGGTTAATGCAACTGCGAGAATTGTAGAATATGTGAGATGGTCGGATGAATCTCTGAACTTTTTATACAGTGTCATGTCAATACTTGTTCATTCGCATCGCATACAATGTATCACTGTTCTAACATAAACATTTCTTTCGAACGCCTTAGGAATGCTTTCTGTCGGTTAGCATATCGTTTAGTATTTTAAAACATTTTAATCACGGGGTGTCAGTTATATGTCATCGATAATTCTTTTATGTAAGCCTGTGTAAGCCTTACATCGTAAGGAGACGCACGTTGCGTCGGCCTCTTGAAGGGGATTGTATCCTTACTAGTGCACGGACCCATTCATCTATCAACGATATCAGGTTCGGCGGTGGCCGAGTGGCGATACTTTGTTGACTACTCGTGGTTTTTACTTCTCAGTGGTTTTGCGTGTGCGCGCGCGTGCGTGCGTGACGTGTCCATGTGTACTTACAAATATACTGTGTGTACCCAGTTTAAGTGCATATACGGTACTATTTCCCTAAGTGTTAAATATGCGAAAAAATATTTCATATGCAAGTTGTTTAATTTCATGGAGTGAACGTAACAGTGTGGTTGAATCCTTTTTTAATTGTTTATTACAGACCGTTTAATAACAATGCAATTTTTTAAAATGAAACTACGTATTTTTGTTACGCATTTTAAGATGCATTCAATAACATATTTTAAAGGTCTCTTCCAGCAATAATTTCACTATTTCTTGTCTCGCGAATCACATGTTATGGATTAAATATGTTCACAGCTTTCCTTCAAATTATTGTTTTAACACATCTTTTAAATACGTCATTGAATTCGTCCTGAAATGCTTAATAAATGGCATTAACAAAAATATGAGGTTTCGTTTAAGAAAAATACACTGTTATTACAATCTCTGTAACTAATAATTACAAAAAAATTCAAATATTCTGTTAAATTTGCTCAATGAAATCAAACAAGTTTTATATGAAACATTTTTTCGCATTTTCAATAGACAGAGCAATAATAGCGTGTGTACAATTAAACCAACTTACTGTATACATATATTTGTATATAAATGTATTTATATATAAATATATATACATAATCATAACTATAATATATTATAGTTAATATTACGACTGAAATTACACATCGGCTTATTCCGATCAATTTTTCCAAACGTTAAGGTTAAATAGAAAGATAGAACTTTATTTAATTTAGTTTTTCGTAGTTAGCAACAAATGGTGTAAATTTGAAAAAAAAAGTGGAGAAACGTAGTTGGGATATAAAGGTTTCGAGGAATGTGAGAGGAGTTTATTTTTTAGTCAACCAAGTCTTTATTACTCCCTTGGACAGGTAGCTTCTTGGAATACGCGTGACTACGTATGCAACCCCTTCTTCACCTTTCTTGGTCCAGTCCTGAAGTGGTTAATGATTCACTCCTTGGTGTCTTATTCCTGTAGAGTGAACTTTGAGTGTTCTACGTTATAGTTTATGGCTCTGAAAACTGCCGATTTTTGTTCATTGCTCTTCAATAATCAGACCAATATCCCTGCCGTTCGATGATTTGCGTCAATCGATTCGGTATGGAGTTGGACAAGGAAGTAAAAAAATCTGGCTTGGTTCGAAGCCCTTCCCAGGTATTCCTCGCTTGTTCTACTAGATTTCTCCGTGTCTTGTCACGACCAGGAGTCCAAACTCTTACCATCTCAGCCCAAACATTTTCGATTAGATTGAGATCGGGAGACCGCGCTGGCCAATCGAGAACACAAATCTCCGGATGGTGGTCGAACCACTGCCTGACAGTGCGTGCGGTGTGGACGGCCGAATTGTCGTGAACCAAACGAAATGTCGACATGTCTTCTTCGGAGTATACATCTCGGAGACTTGGGAGGAATGTGATTTCCAAAATGTCTACATACTCCTCCGAATTCATACGTGATGACATTTCGATCAGTTCACCAGGACACTGCGCACTGATCCAACCCCACAATGCACATGCGATGCACCCACTTCGCTCGAGAGGAATAACATACCTCGGATCAAGCCGTCGAATGGCTGGTCGCCACACGTACGGTCGTCTGTCGGTTGATTTCATTTGTTTCTGGAGGTTGCGTATTACTCTGCCACGACGCGAGTAATAAATAAAGATCACAGCGCGGGGTCCCACACTACTTCTACCGCGATGTCACAGCTCACGTTCTCCTCTGACAATCTGTCGACCAATTCCGTAATTCAATCCATCTCTCGATTACTTACGAAATTATCAACAACGAATGATAACAATTAAAACATGATACTGTATAAAGGGTTCAGACATTTATCCGACCATCTCACATATTCTACAATTCTCGCAGTTGCATTAACCTGAAATGCATTTTGGGATACTGATGAATATACTAACCAGTTTAGGAAAAGAAATTAATTTTCAATCTGTAAAACATTTATTAGCTCAATGAATAATTTGATATACGGTTCATGTGGTATCCCATTTACCGTAATGTGTATTCTGCCGACCGAAACCAGAGACCCTTTAAACATTGGTAGGACGAGGAGGTGCCGTAAAAGAGTACAACCACAAGTGCAAAAAGGGCAGCCTTTTGCGAAGGTTTCCCCGCACTCGAGCAGTCAAGGCTTCGCTGCGTTGCAGCGAATCACAGCGCGCGCTCCCTCACTACTTCCACCGCGTTGTTACAACTCACGCTCTCGTCTGACGATCTGTCGACCAATTCCGTAATTCAATCC